GGGGGGGGGTGTAGGCGTCGACAATGCATTCGTTCGCGTTCCTCGCCCTCCACACCGATATAGCTCTTCCCTCATTGCCAACCCGTCCCAAACGGTCCACCTCGTACATCGAGGCATCGTAGTACCGGGGAAGTGTCTCTCCTCGCACATGACGCCGAAAGCCAAGATAATCGACGCCGACGCGAAGGTCGTGCTGCGCAGTCGGCGAGTCGTTCGTCAGGCCTCGGCGCACGTGCGAATAATATTGCCGCGAGATAAGAGCGAAGAGGCGCGAGATAAGGATGCGACACTGACCGCCGTTGACGCTCTCTCCTTCGCGGATTCGTGGCACGCGCGACCGCGACCGCGTGTGCCCGTTTATTTAAAGATTCTCGCGCCTGCGCTCGGTCAATGCCACCACCGCCGCCATCCCACTGCCTCCTCACTGCCACCGCTACCCCACTGCCTCCTCACTGTCATCGCCACCCCACTGTCTCCTCACTGCCACAGCCACTCCACGGCCGCCAGCCCAGAGTCGTCGTCCGGTATTATAGCGCTTAACCATTTATCTCGAGCGAGCAATGCTAACAACGATGCTAACGTCGGCGAATCTTATTTTGCACGTCTTGCGCTTTTAGCCGATATATTGCGAAGCGACCGACCCCTTTGCCCCTCGTCGTCTCCGGCCCGAGTCAAAGCCAGCGGGGTCGCGCGAGTTCTGTCGGAGCTTCATGCCGGACGGCCGAAATAGGGAGGTCAATATCGATCGAATCTACGCGTTGATTAGCGACGACGAGGTGTCGCGTCTTTCCTCGCCCGCTACCACGATGTCGTGGCAAGTGTCGCGGCTGCTCCGTCGGCACGGCGCTCCCCCACGTAAACAGTCGCGACCTTGCGCGAAACCGAGAAGAAACGAGCCCGAGTCCGTGGCTTTTGTCACGTAATCGCCCGTCACGCGTCCATGCGTTATGGCGCTGAGGGGATGAGATGAGAGGGAAGGGAAGGCCATCGTGGAGCGATCGGCACGGAGGGAAGGACTCCTTCCCTCGGGGCAGGCATGCGCACCCTCAAACAGCCCCTGTCGACACGAGCAGCCGACGCTCGCGCTTCCTCGTCTCCACGTGCTTACGTCTCCCTCCCTTTCTCATTACCGTCCCACTTCTCTCCCTCCCGCCCGCTCTCGCACTCGTCGTACTCACACTTGCACTTCTCCCGCATCTTCACGTAACTCCGGCGCATCTTGTCCTTGGAGACTTGGATGGGCTCGAAGCTGAGGTGGCGCAGGCCCGCGGTCGTCCTCGGCCCGGACTCCTGGCCGAGGATCAGCCGTAGGAGTATCGGCCCCGAGGTCCGCCTTGCCCGCGCAAACGACATGGTGACGGTCACGCGGCGGATGGCGCTGACTGCCTCGGAACCCGTGTGCGACGCGCGGCCCGCCAACCGCGAGTTGCGCGCGCCTCTTAGGGGCCGTCCACAACGGCCTCGCTCCTCTCTCTCTCTCTCTCTCTCTCTCTCTCTCACGCACACGCACACGCGCACGCGCACGCGCACGCACATATCACACAGGCAAGCAGACACACACGCACACAAACTATCTCTCACCATTCTGCCGCAATCACGCACTCGCGCACGCACACGCTCTATCTCCCTATATCTCTGTCTATCTCTCCGTCTCTCTATCTCTCTATCTCTATCTCACGCACTAGGCTTATAAATAACACTTTAAGCCGCGTGAGCCGGTTGACGATGAGATGAGGCAAGAGAGGCTCGCTCGATTGACGGCCGTTTATATCGGCATTTTTACGCGCGATTGAAAACTCGTTTCTAATTCTAGGTCGCGCCTCGGCCGAGACCTCCCAGGGTCTTTTTTACGTCACCAGTACTGCACCAGAGATTTTCGACGATGACACTCGAGTCGAATAGCCGAGACGCGTAATCGCCTCGACGCTCCTCGCCCCTCTACCTCGCCTACCGGCCATCCTTACCTTACCGTACTCAATCGGGTTGCCACGATTATACGCGCCACGGCAGACTGAGGGACTTTGATCGGCGTTGCTGCATCTGGAGTTTGAATTCTCAGGTCCGATTATCAATGGGGATACAGGACTGACGAGGCGCCTTTCGGGCAAGTCCAGTCTATGGAAATCTTTATGCGAGAATGCAGGTCGCGATGGTAAAAGTGCCAGTGGATAACTAAACGCTCCTAACTCGTAGCATCCTTATTACGGATAATTAAAATACCTTTATTTATTAAAATATCTTTGTCGAAGCGAGCGAGAGTTTCGAGAGTAGTAGGTGTTGTTACGACGAGGCGATCTTCTTAACGCTGCCTTAATGGATGGCGTTGTTAAGTAGGGAACGCGATCGCTAGATTCCCGACCGAGAAAAATAATAGGAACGACGAGTCTACGATGACTCTCTACGCGTATTATCATCGCTCGATCAATAAATGAATCGCGCACTTTTTTTCACTTCTACGGCGCTTACGTTCTCTTTCCGTGTCCTTGGATCGTCACTTGCCTTTTCTTTTGCCTACCGTGCTTCGCGCCTTTATATAATTTGCCCATAATCCTTTCTGCTCGACCGCATATCCCGGCATTTGCAATCACACCAACTGCAGCTATCCGGCGTTATTCGTGATCTCGCCTCTCGCCATTGGGGGCTCATTATTTCATTAACGTTAACACGGGATCGTGTCATTATCGGCTTAGTTTAGGGAAGATTGTCATAGTGTAAGATCGAGATCGTCGAATGCTTTTAATATTGTAATATCGTTTTTACATCGTAATTGAAAAATTAAAAACGATTTTACTGCCATTGTTGTATCGTTATAATTAATTGCATTAATCTATTTTTTTTCTCCATTATTCATTCTCTCTCTTTCTCTCTCTCCCTCTCTCTCAATTTATTACTTTGAAATTAAAAATCCCAGTCTAGCACTAAGATATTAATATTTTCCCGATTAGAAAAGATCCCTCCTAACTTGACGACAAACTTCATATTAATGCTTAATTCTATCGCTTACTTCTAATACTTAAATTAAAAGTCTTAAAATACATATATATATATATATACACACACACACACACACACACACACACACACACATATATATATATATATATATAAAGATAATGGGTAAAAGTGCATATTTATGAACTGATGTTTGGATAAACCTTTCGAGTAATATCGGTGGAGCGTATTGATTTATTGATCTATGATTAATTGACAAGAATAAATCAAACTTGATGTTTTAAGATAAGATAGAAAGTCATGTTAATATTTGTACTGTCATGTGAAAACAAAGATATATCATAAACAAAGAGGCAAGCTTATTTCAATATCTTACTCAAAACAACTTGAAAGAACAATAATCACTTAAAATCTAATCATGAGTTACATTATGTACAAAATATAATACAATAACATCACTGATATCTTTGAGCTCTAAATGCAAGATTATCTACTATTTAATCTTCAATTTTATTATTTCCTCCTTTGAATTTTTTTATAATATTGTACCAAAAAAAGACAAACTCATTATTATGGTAATTTCTTTATGGATTTGAAAATAGCGACGACCTGTTGAAACAATATTTATCGTATTATTGAAATTATTTTTATATATTTAATCACGGAATATTGCTGAAAGTTCTATGAGCGCAAACTTTGATAGCATTTACTTTACAAAAAGAAAAAGAAGAAAAAAAATTTGTTCACTATAAATGCTTAAATGGTTACAAAATTTCTTTCGTCGTCAGCACCACCCATTAAAAGCAGAATAAATAAATAAATAAATAAATAAATAAATAAATAAATAAATAAATAAATAAATAAATAAATATATATATATATATATATATATTTCTACGTGTATGTGGATTTATATATTTATGTTGTATTAAATGTATATTCTTAGAATAATTAGCTGTCTGTTGCCGTTTCGTACTTTTGCTTTGATTTGGGGCGTAATTTTGTGTGCGTGTGCGTGTGTGTGACTGCTCGAAATGTCCCGACACGCGTACAGAATGACAGGTAGGATATGCTATTATTGAAATGCTTTGAGGAGCAAAATAGTCATTCGAATCCCCTCCACTTTTGCACGTATTCCTATTTGTTGCTAAGCTCGATATTATTATTCATTCGATATACTCGTTTATTTTATGGAGAGTATGATTTCAATAAAAATACAATTATTTTTCATTTGCCAATACAAGAAAAGATTGGGTAGCAACGATTTCTGTCTTATGAATAAATCAAATTTCTTGAAATAGGCGAATAAAATATATGAAGAAATCTACTTGATAATTCTCACAATAGTGTTTCCTCGTTAATTATTAATGCCCTATTGATTAATCAAAACAAATATAATATTACCTGTGGTGCTTAAATGGAATTTAGACATTCGTAGATAGATAAGGGCATAAAAAATAAACGAAAGAATGCACTTTGCAATAGTTTTAAATATCTTGGTAGTAATAATTTTAGAAGAATTTCAATAAGCCAACTTGCAAATATTAATCCTCTTCATAAACTCCTTGAAACTTCGAATCCATTTTGCGATAGTGCACTTGACGTACACATATAGCTCGGCAGTAGACGGAGTTACGGAATTCGCATAAGCTTTTACTTATGGGGCTGGCATTATGCTGAATTCCATATCATTTCCTCTGGATTTCGATCCCTATACTAAAGTTTTTAAAGATAAGGTCTGCCTTGATGTGGACTGCAATTGAAAAGTATAAGATGGAAAAAAATTAACATAATCGATATTATGAATATTTTGTGGGTAATGCGCGATATAATTCAGGACCAATGTAATTTGCCCGATGGGAGCATAATAGAAATGCGTTTTATTTCTTAACTTTTCTTTATTATCAAAGTTTTTATTCAATTTGCTTGGTAGTATTTATGACGCAGTGTAACAGAGTCCTTCGAGTGATTAACATGCATTATGAAATTCTGCTGTTCGGAGATAACTATTTATGATGTGCTGCGATGAAAAATAAGTTATAACTGCATATTATAACAAGGACGGAGTGCATGGCATTTTTGTTACTTAAATGTAATACTACTTTCTTGTGTAAAATTTTAAACTATCCAATGAAATGGAGAGCAACCATTAAAGGTAGAATATGTGTTAGGGATTTCTTAGTTTAGCAAAAATTAGGCTTAATCTTGTTTAAGTTAGCGCGCTTTAATTATACTCGAAAGCACGTCACGTGTAATTCAGCTGTTAGTTATTACTCCTCCTGCGGTTCAATGTGAGTCTGGATTAAAGTTAAGATCCTTAATTTGCGCATCTGTTTCACAACATAATTTTCAGATGTATTTTAAAACGAGGACACATTACCTTTCAAATCAAATGTGAATCTTGTGCATATTTCCCCAAGTGTATATTATATCTGAATAGAAGCACACGATTATATTGAAATTCATATAGAAACAATATTGTTAGTAAACTATTATAAGGAGTTTAGAGGTTGATAAGAAAGGTATAGTATTAAAATAATAATTAGATAATAATCGTTTGCTTTGAAATTACATATAATGATGCGAATAAGATTAAAAGTCGTAAGGAAATCAAGGACATCATTTGTACTTATGACCCCAATTATATTTGAGATTTAGATATTGTAATTAACGCATGATTTGTACATTTGTGTTTTTCGTTGAATTTTTTCATATTCGTAATATGTGAATTCACATACGTACATAGTAAGGACTTTGACTGTTAGCACAGCCTAACAGTGAAAATTAATGATTACCTTTAATATTAAAATAAAGTTTCACCACAATTTATTGTGAGCGCTATTATTAGTCAACTTCAACATCATACAATCATTCACGATTATTTCTATTTGGTACAAATTTTTTCCCTTATATTTGTCGATTTCAAAAATAAAGTATCTATTGTTTTGCAGTTAACTTTAAGACGTTCGTCGGTCCTACAAAATAACTAGCATAGAAAAAAAAGTATATCTAGTTTTCATTCAGAGTATGGGAAATGATTAATGAGCAGTACTTAAGGTACAATGTAAAAAAAAAAAAAAAAAAAAAAAAAAAAAAAAAATAGAAAATGAAAAAAGTGTCTGTTTGCTTATAAAAAAGAAAAATTATTTGCCTTAATCAACTTCTGTACAAGTCATTGTTAAACTACTCGTTTTGCTTTGCAAATGAGTTAGCGATTTTCTGCGCGGAAAGTCACATTACTGTCAAGAGAAGCTCGTTGATGCTCCTCCGATCAATCCTAAATTAACACTACCCAGTCACCAAATACGAAATATATTTCCCTCTGAAAAGAGATGAATAGATTAAAAAAAAAAGCTAAATTGTGGATTTTTAACGATTGATTAAGATCGATCTTAAATTTATAAGACGACGACGATGAAAGGCAAGAGATACGATCCTTGATCTCGTAAATCCTTTTCATAC